GGTTGAATGGACACAGGAAATCAGGGGCGGAAAGGAGGAGTGTGCTGTCACAGTATGGGGAGAGCAATTAGGGTCACATAACAATGTACGTATAAATTTTTGTATGGGGAAAAATAAAAAAAAAGTGACCCAAACCCAACAACAATACAACAAAAACCTCAGACTTCAAAGTAATTGTGAGCTTGTGGCGGTCACTTTGGACTATGTCCTTGTCCTGCAGGAACACTCTCCACCATCCTTCGGTCACCTTTTAGGAGAACAGGTTACGAAATACTGATATAAGGTATGAAAAGGACAGGGGGAAAAGCAATTTAATAAAAAACAAAACTGCCAAATAAGGCCTCAAGGACTGAAACACAAAATGACAGTAACATAAACACTTCTAAGCCAAGTCGCGGGCGCCACCCCGCCCCCATCTGCACGATGACCGTCGCGTGGTGCAGACCAGGGAAGCCCAGAGAGGCAGCTGTGAGTACCGTGGGATTCAAGCCTGGCAGCCCGGGACTTCCCTGGAGCTGCCCAGAGGAAAGTGGCCTCCTAAGGACCAGAGGCACAGTTGTCCAGCTCTGCACTGGGGAACTAGGCACTTCACATGAACAAGCCAATGACAGCCGCACGGAACGGTGGTCGTAATATTTTTATTTGACAGATTAGAAACCAGACTCAGCTATAGAGCAACTACTTCCTCATTATATTTAACGAGCAGGGGAGAGATGGAATCCAGATTTCCGCTCAGGTCTGCCTCGCTACAAAGCTCATGTTCTGTGCACCGGCCATCCGACCTCCCCTTGGACAGACTGTCTGGCACTTGCTTGGGAGTCTTCCTTACACCCTACCAGTCTGGGCTCCCTCTTCAGGGAACCTGGCTCTCTCCCTCCCATCACTCAAACACCCCCTTCCTGACTAAACTCTCCCCAGCTAACCTGCAGGAGTGATCACAACCCACCACATGTGCTGCTGTTGCTGGTTGCCATGGAGCTGACTCAGACTCATGGCAACCCCGTGTGCAGAGGAGAACTGCTCCAGAGTTTTCAAAGCTGTGACCTTTCAGAAGCAGATCGCCAGGGCTTTCTTCCAAGGCACCTCTGTGTGGGTTCACACCACCAACCTTACAGCTAATAGTCGAGTGTTAACCGTTTGCAGAGCCCAAGGACATACTTCACTTTAAAATTCAACTCCAGGGTCTTGATGCCTTAGTCCAAATCTGCACTACTCTGAAGAGTAAGTCAAACTTTATGTTTACATTTTCTCAGGGTTTTTCCCCTTGTATTTATGTCCTTAACAAGACAAACATCTCTAAACCTGGTCTTATACTTGCAGGGTTTTTCCAGTTTGTTTGTTCTTTTACTTTAAAGGATGTTTGTTAAAAGACAGTAAACAAAAAAGTGCTTTAAAATCCATTTTTCCTAGCTACAGCAGCAACAACAGCCAGGGAGGGGTCTGAGCTCAGCTACAAGCCAACTTCCTGATACAGCAGGCAGACTGACTCTCAACTAGGATCAGGGCCCCCTCACCCAATTATTAGAAGGGATAATGAGCCCTGGTGGCACAGTGGTTTAGGGCTCGGTTGCTAACCAAAAGGTCGGCAGTTTGAATCCACCAGCCACTCCTTGGAAACCCTACGGAGCAGTTCTACTCTGTCCTATAGGGTCACTGAGAGTTGGGATCCACTCAACGACAACGGTTTTTACAGGTAGGGTATCTGAGGTACTGTGTTCTGTAATATAAACACACAGCGGGGTTGCTCAATCTCAGCAGTACGACATTTGGGGCAGAGAAGTGTTTGTTGTGGGGGCTGCTGTATGCATTGTAGGCTGGTTAGCAGCATCCCTGGCCTGGCTAAAGCCTGCACTCTGCCCCACTCCGGTTGTAACAACAAAAACGTCCCAGACACTGCCAAATGCCTCTCAGGGGCAAAACGACCCCAGTGAGAACCGCCAATGAAATAAAATACTGATGTGGACACAGGCACACTGTGTTCTTGCTAGTCTGATGCTTTTGACAGTAAGAAAAATACTCAGCCGGATTTCCTCTTTAAACCAGGACAATTATTTTCAAATACTCACATCGGTTTAACTGCACAAGAAGAGTTAACATTTGATTACCTGTTAATTTCACATTTGTACATACCTTGTTTTCCCATTTATTGATTAAAATTTTCAATAGAAAGGAATATTTGCTTTAAAAAGCTAGATCCATTAAGGCTTTAAGAATCTGGTTATTATTTTTTAAAGGATACTTGTATTTATTAAGTTATACAAATTGTTCTTACTCATGGGAGAATTTTATTGCTCTTGGGAAAACTTCTGAATTAAGAGTGTACTTTTGGAATGTTCTCTAGTTCCTGAGATATTCACAACAGTACTATTTACTACACAGAATGTGGTAAAATGCAGCCACCTGAGCAGTGTCCAAGCGAGGTTGCTTCAGGGGGTTGTAACAGACCTGCTCTTAAACAGAGTGACATGAAACGGTTCCATTTACATGAAGAGAGGGCTTTTGTGACTCACAGGCAATTCTAAGGCAACACTGCACTGCTTAGTTAACACCGAGGCAAGCCGGCCAGTGAGTGCAACGCAACAGCAAAGACCACAGGTGCGGTGCAGTGGATGACTTAACATGGCCCCTCTAGCCATAGTCTTTCCAACTCCCACCAAATGACTATGAAATGAGATTCTTGTGGCCCACCCAGGAGATTGGATAGCTTGCTAATAATGTAAATAATAAGGTGCATGGCACTCTTGTGGGGGTGGGACCATGCAAATAACATGTATGGCACCCTAACGAGGGGACTGGTCAGTTTTACCATCCTGCTAGGCTTCAAAGAGCAGTCAATCCCAGAGCAGGGGGCACCTACTACCACCAAGAAAGAAGAACTAGGAATGGAGTGTGTCCATTGGGCCCGGAATCCCTGCACGGAGACCTCCTAGGCCCAGGAGACACAGAGAGAGAGATGTAACACCAGAGACAGCAAGAAATGGTGAGAAGCAGCAGCAGCAGAGGCTGCTGAACCAGGAGACCTGTAGGAGACAGCGTGGTGAGCTTCCTGGCCCACAGAGCAAGGCAGTTACGGTGGGTGTGCCGACCCACGGAGCAAGAGAGCTGAGCGCCTTGGGCAGGAGGCTTCCTGCAGGTGTGGGGTGCCTCTGGACACGTGGCGGCGGAGCAAACAGAGCTCTGTAACACTTGCCCAAGCAGGGAAGAGGCCGAGAGGCCAGAGAGAGGTGTGCCTGCAGGCATGGCTGAGAACAGGCTGTCCTGATCCAAATGTATCCTGAGTGTTCCTGATCCTGAACTGTAACCTGTTACTTCCCTAATAAACTCCATAATCATGAGTATTGTCTGTGAGTTCTGTGTGGCCATTGCAATGAACTATCGAACACAGAAGAGAAGTAGAGAGTGTTGAGGGGGGGACAGCTGGTGTCAGAATTGGTAAAGATGGTGGAGAGGAGGCATGTCTGACCTCCATCTCACAGGAATCAGCCTTGGGCTGCTGCTGTTGATCTTGATTCTCCTCCCACCTCACAAAGTCAGAGGAGGTCAGATGCTGCCGCCACGCTCTTTTTACAACAGGCCAGTTACACAGGACCTGCCGTCATTCTAGCACCCCCAACCCAACAGCAGAACCGAGTCCTCTCAGGGGAGACTTCCGCGTGTGCCAACGAAGGGCTGCGGGGACTTGAGAAACACGTTACTGAAGAGAGCTGGCTTCCAGTCTGTTGTCTAGTGAGAGAAAGTGACAGAGACTCCACCTACGAAAGGCAGCTTTAGTTTTAGGCATTACAAACGCACAGTTGAGAACTAAGAGTAAAAGCAAAACCCCTCCAGGTCACTGGAGCCACACCCGACTTAGGACTGCAGGTGTACACTGACTGAAGAATCCAAGTTTGATATGGCTCCGTCGATATTTTTAAATCACACCTACTTGAAATAAAAGCTGCGGATATACTGCATGATAACTCCCAATGACTTCCTAAAGTTTAGGGTTTAGAAAAACAAAGTGATTTATACTTGAGGACAACAGAGGTTGTATCATTTGGGGTTTGTGTGAAGCATTTTGAGGGCTAGGATATAACTCTGAATGCAATATTCTTGTGCAGTAACATGCTGTAAAGTTAAATTATGGACAGAAAGCAATATTACCTGTGGACATAAAATGGGATTACTACTTCCTTCAAATAAAACCCACTAGGGCCAGACCATCTAACGCACAACCAAATCAAGGCGAATTTGTCAAATTGCCCACAGAAGAGGAGAAGGAGTGCTGTAGCTCACTTTCCCACTTGTGGTAGCCCAGGAGCTGACTCCCGAGTGGCTGAGACAGGGGAGGATCAGGTGCAAAGAAACTGCCCCTCTCAGCCTCTGGGGGAAATGTGACACGGGCCCTGAACCTGGTATCTGCTGTCCACCTGGAAATGAAAAATACTGGCAGATGAAAGGAGCAGCCAGGCCTAGTTCAAGTGTTCACACCTTACAGAAACTTTCATATTGACCCTTTTACTTAAAACTAACTAAAATTAATGTAATGTACTGTACATGTTGAGAAAAAAAGAAACCAGAGTCATAATTTAATAAATCAAATGTCAGTATTTTAATACGTGTGTGTGTGTGTGTGTGTGTGTGTGTGTGTGTGTGTGTGTGTGTGTGTGAAGAACCCACAAATAGACTTTCATTTTCTTGGAAAATTTAGTGCATCTTTGTACATTAGATACACTTTATAGGTTTTCAGTAAAACCTAGTGACTCTTTAATAACTCAGGACTCATTGCTGCTTATGTTACACTGGTCCCTGATGAAGTCAGATATTGTATTCAAAACAATATTTCACTGGTATAGCCAAAAACATGGAAAAAACAGACTATACTTGAATGTCTTTTAATTAAAAAATAAAAATATTTACGCATCCTTAAATAAGATGTCAAGCGGAACATTTACTGCAACCAGTTTCCTTTTCTTCCCCGCCCTGTTCAACACGTATCAGAACAGAACCCAGCAGCTTACCTGGATCACCTTATAGAAATAGGCATACTGTCGAGCTGTGTTTTTATACTGGCTGAAGACGTCATGAATAGCTTGAGTCGACTGAAGATAGCGAACTTCATCTTCGTCAAAGTAGAGAGGGGTATCGTATTCACTGGGCAGGGTCTGAATGTAGGGCTGCCAGAAAGAGTTAGGGTTGGCTCTCTCACACAGCAGATGAAAGGCCAGTGTGATATTTCCCATGGCTTGAAGAATTCGGTCTTGAGAATATAAGGGCCCTGAATTAACCCAGAAGTTAACAACGTAAGTTCCACAAACTTCTTTAAAAAGTATTCATTCAAAACATCTATTAATGTCATAGAAATAACTGAAATGACTTGTAATATTTAAAATAATACGCATCTTTCTTTTGGCCCTCTCCTACTATGTCAGATTACTAACAATCTCTCATGAAAGACATTTAATGTGGATTTGGGGGACTATTTCACCAGTTGAGAACACCCAAATCTGATCCTTAGCTCCACCAAATGAAATCTTTTATGTTTCTGCCACTTGTACTTTGCCTTGAACGAACAGTCAGAAATTATTCTCACCCAACACTGAATTTTTAGCAGATTCAACAGTCATAAGTAATTTTCTTGGAACCCATAAAAATAATTCTTCTGCCTAGGGAAAAAAATAAGAAAATAGTAGTATCATCAAAAGATGTTAAAATTTCTATGGTCAGAAATCCAATCAGACAGCAAACACAAGTTAACCTTACACATCAGCATTTCATTTCTAAGTATCCAATGGATTTGAAAACAAAAGCATTCAATTCAATAATTGGTTAAACGAGCAGAAGCATATTTTAAAATCATATTTCCAGTAGAAAAACTAACTAAACTGAGAAAGCAAATCATCAGAAGAGGGACTTTCAACTTTAATTTGAAGCAAATAAAATAATTTAGGGCAGTGAACACAAAAGTATCTTCTCTGTACTTAAATTTTTAAGTTCTATCTAGAAACAAAAAAAAAAAAAAAATTCTGCCCCCAACAAAAAACCTAAATCTACATGAATGGCTCCCACACCTGAGTTTCTGAAGCTAGGGAGCGCTCACCCCATCTGTGCTTTCTTTAAAGCACAATGGTCACTGGCAAAAAAGCATAAGGTTTATTTATTTTGGCCAAAGCATCATCTTATTTCTTGGCAAAAGGAGCTGCTTCTTTCCAGTCTGTTCTTCCACCTGAGGACGTATGCTGCTTAAAAGGTGCACGTAGTAAAGACAGACAAGAGCTAAGCCATTTGGGACAGCCCTCACACGAGTGCTGCGTCTCTGTCTGTTTCTCACCTGATACAAGCCGAGAACAGGTGACATCTTGTTTACGCTTGCCTTTTACTCGTGCCCACGATCTGAATTACCTGTATGTGCCTTGTCCCTAACTAGATGACAAGCATCATGAAGGAAAGATCCCCCTTTTTTTGGAAGTCTGGGGTAATAACAAACACAGTAGATTATTTAATAGGCATCTAGCGATTTATCAGCGTATCAACGACTAATCACAACTTGACCAAAAATGTCACTGAAGATTTAAGCGGTCCAAATAAATAACACCCATTTCTTCCACTCAAATTCTGAACCGAGACAGACACGAGAATACAGCAGATGGTCACCAAAAGTATCACCTACTGAACCCCAGAATGAGACAGACTTCCCTACCCAGCTACAGGCAGAGCTGGAGCCCCAGCGCCTCCCCGTGGGAGGGTCTGTCTCGTGGGACCTGCAGGCTAGGGGAGCGCGGCAGAAACGAACACATCTGAGCAACCAGCTCCCTTCCCCAGACTCACCAGACAGATCAAGCAACGACACACCTACCAGGAGAGGGTGAGCGAGGGGTGGAGGGGCTGGGGACGTCAGGGAGCGCCGCGAGTGGAGAAGGGGCACCCTCACTCAGGTGTGTGTTTCTTTTCTTCCCTCTCTATTCTCTGCTGGTGTTGCCGCTTCAGTCAGGGGTACCTCTAACCACTCAAGTATCCATTCCAGGAAACTGGGGAGCATCCCTGACACAGCCCCCCACCCTCCCATCCACCCCATCACAAGGTTCCATGTGCTCTCCCTCCAAACTACCTTGAATCCACATCCTGCTCTTCATTTAAATCTCAAACCCTGTGAGGCAGGCTCTGCCTCCTAACAGACTCACAAACGCGAGTCAACTTGCCCCAAATCACGGGCTACCACGTGGCTCCTGAGGAGGACGAGCTGGAGGGGCTGCCCAGAACAGATGCAAGGCTGGCCCCAGGAGGCTGTTTGCGGGGCTCAGCAGCAAACCCGAGTCCTCTATCTCCTTGCCCAGGCGCTCCAGGCCACCCCACACTCAGGACACACTCAGACCACTCATGTCAACACCTTATAACTCACCTTGATATCTCTCGTTGCTCTCAAACCAAAGCCTTCTTCTTTGAAGTTAACCACTTCAAAACCCTCCACGGATGCTCCATTTTCAGAGGCCCATTTCATTAGATCAGGAAAGTAATCTTCTCTTTTTCCATCAAAAGTAACAGACAGACCTATATCAATCCATGTTTCAAAAAACAAGAGCTACTTTTAGGACACAGACCACACGTACTGATCTCGGAAAATAAAAACAGACCCTACTTAACATGGACAATAGTCGTAACACTGCAATCTTGAACAGTCCAAGTGAATCACCAGAGAGTCACAGTACACGTCTTAACTAGTGACAGAAGAGGCAGGTTAAATCCTAAAATCCCTGCCAGGTAAAGAGAAATACATAGGGAATATTAGGTAATATGAACACTGAGTATCAGGTACTATGAGGTCACGGTATGCGAGAAGGGGGAAAGCCTTCATTAAGATGTTTTATTACCACTACTAAGGATTCTTCCCCCTGGAAGTCCAAGTGCAATCTCTCATATTCACATTTGCTTTAACAAAATTCCATTAAAACAAAAATCACAACCTCACAAATGTGCACAAGATGTGTGTAAGAACATGCACAATCTCGCTGATTCTAGGAGCATCACACTAATCCAAGTATGTCCAAGAGAGGGGGCATGAGAAAACAACAATGGAGCCAAACGACAGAATTCTGTAGAGCAAATGAAATGAATCCCATCTATCTGTACCAACATGAAGAAAAGACAAAATGGATCGTGTTTTTGAAAACATTATGCATATGATACTGCTGACGTAAATTTTAAAAATACCCACTACTACCATATGTTTTTACGGGGTAATGCATTAAGCAGAAAAACATTCAGAGAAAAGACAAGCACTCTCAATGAGGGAGGGAAAGAAATGGGATAGAAGTGTATCTATAGTCTTACTCCTTAAAAGCAAACACAAAAACAAAATGAAGGACAGAGGGAGGGAAAATGGGGCAAGCCAGAAGGTGGGAAAGATGTTGTTACGTGCCGTCGAGCTGGTTCTGACTTCTAGTGACCCTGTGTACAACAGAATGAAACACTGCCCGGTCCTGCAGCATCCTCACAATCATTGCTATGTCTGAGGCCACTGTTGCAGCCACCATGTCAGTCTATCTCATTGAGGGTCTTCCTCTCTTTCGCTGCCCCTCTACTTTACCAAGTATGATGTCCTTCTCCAGGGAGTGGTCTCTCCTGATGACACATCCAAAGTACATGAGACTAAGTCTCACCATCTTAGCTTCTAAGGAGCATTCTAGCTGTACTTTTTCCAAGACAGATTTGTTCACTCTTCTGGCAGTCCATGGTACAGTCAATATTCTTCACCAACACCATAATTCAGAGGCATCGATTCTTCTTCAGTCTTCCCTATTCATTATCCAGCTTCCAAATGCGTATGAGGCAATTGAAAACATCACGGCTTGGGTCAAGTGCACCTTAGATCTGAAAGTGACATCTTTGCTTTTAAACACTTTAGTCTTTTGCAGCAAATCTGCCCAATGCAATATGTTGATTTCCTGACTGCTGGCTTAGAAGCGAGTTGACTGTGGATTCAAACAAAATGAAATCCCTGACAACTTCACTATTTTCTCCATTTATCATGATGTTGCTTATTGGTCCAGCTGTGAGGATTTTTGTTTTCTTTATGTTGAGGTGTAATCCACACTGAAGG